AAATTTAACTGATGCCATGTTATATAAAAAAAAAAAAAAAAAAAAAAACAAAAAAACAAAAAAAAAATACTAAAACTCATTTTATAACACTATATTCTTTAAGTCAAAAAACTAATACTATATTTTATATAATATAATTAGTTAAAATCTTTCTTTAAAAAATAAAGAAATTTTTATTAAATAAAAGTTTTTTATATTTTTAAGTAAAGTTGTAGAGCTCTCTTTTTTAGTTCTAATGATCAAAATTGAATTTATCTTTGATAAAATATTTATGTTTAAAGATAAAATCTTAAAGAAATAAAAATATTTTTTTTTTAATATTTGACATTAGGATTAGAGTTCAGAGCTCGTATTAAGGTTAGGGTTTAACAAGGTTTATAGTAAAATTTCGCAAGGAATTTTTTTGCTTAGAACTTCAAAAGTAGTTTTATAAGCAAAATTTTGAAATAATTTTATTACAGATAATAATCACCTGTAATATAAATTGGAAAACTCTGAAAAAAATACTAATAATTCAAAATTTTGACTATAAAACCATCTTTTGGGTTCTAAGAAAAAAATTTTCTTGTGAAATTTTGCATATAAACTAAGCCTTGCCCCAACCTAATAATAGCTCTGACCCTAACCCTAAAGTAAAGAAAATTACTTTATTTACTTTTTATTTATTATTTTTACATGTTATACAAAAGTGTGGTGTTGAATACCAGTGGTGTGATTTAGTAAAACTGTAAAAACATAAAGATAAGCAATTCATCATCACACCATATTTTATATATTTGGCTTAGACTAAATAATTGGAAATTTCCTGCTCCGCAGTCAATTCTTTCGAGACGATAACTTTTTTAAACGCACAAATACTATGTCCTCTTCGATCATTATTAAAAATTAAAAGTTTTCTAAATTGTCAAGCCCAGGCGTTATTTTGGGTAGCCAAATTCTTAACAATTTTGACTAGTATTATCTACTATACCTACTAAAATTGATTTACTATTTTATGTTTGGATAAGCAATTTTTTTAGTCAACCTTTTTAGGTCTGGTGCACAAAAAAGAAAGACACGAAAAGTTCAATAACGTTAATATTGATACGCCAAACTATTAAATTTTTTGAATTTATTTAAATCATTCATAGATAATAAGTATTTATTAATCATGACGCAATTTTATTTTATGTTTTTCGTCATTTCGATATCCATTATAAATAAATAGTTGTAAATTTCATCCAAGTGTTTCCTTCATCGCTTTAACGAAGTCATTTATTATTTATCTTTATTTTTTATTGAGTATCGAATTATCATTCTTTGAAAAGAAATGGAAAAAGATATTAAAAAAACGGTAGAAAAACTTGGAGACAAGTTAAAAAACTTTGTTGGTGATAATGATATGATTAATAAAGATACGGCTGGTGAAAATGATAACATGATTCGGGAGAGATCAAACGAAAAAACTAATATGATTAATAAAGATACGGCTGGTGAGAATGATGACATGATACAGGAGAGATCAAACGAAAAAACTAATATGATAAATAAAGATACAGCTGGTGAGAATGATAACATTCAGGAGAGATCAAACGAAAATAAAGATGAATCAATAGAGACGTATCAAAGAAATAGAGATACGGCTGGTGAGAATAATGACATTAAAGAGGAGAAGAGCAGCCTGGGAGTAGACCTCTTGTTTCAGGAGAAACCAAACGAAAATAAAGGTGAACCAATAGAGATGGAGCAAAGAAATAGAGATACAGCTGGTGAGAATGATGACATTCAGGAGAAATCAAACGAAAATAAGGAAGGTGAACCAATAAAGATGGAACAAAGAAATAGAGATACGGCTGGTGATAATGATGACATTCAGGAGAAATCAAACGAAAAGAAAGATGAACCAATAGAGATAGAACAAAATAAAGATGACGATGAAGTAATGATTATTTAATTTACTTGAACTGTACTGTACGCCATCTGCTACTTATTTTTTATGTTGTAAATTGTTTTTGTGATTAATATAATAAAAGAACGAGCAATATTTACATACTGATCCAAAAACCGGTTTGACAACTGAAGAGGCTGAGAAACGTATGAGAGAATTTGGAAAAAACGAAATTACAGAAACAAAGCAGTAAGTTTACAGTTTTCATAATCTGTTCTAATTATTTTTTCAATATTGATTAAATATTTATCTTGTAGTAATCCAGTCTTAAAATTCATCTCATATTTTCGAGGTCCAATCGCCTACTTGATCGAGTTGGCTTGTATAGTGGCCGCCATAGTTCGAGATTGGATAGATTTCGGCATAATTCTCGCACTCTTGGTTGTTAATGCTCTTATAGGTTTCATAGAAGAATCACGTGCGGAATCTGCGTTAGAAGCATTAAAACAATCTTTAGCGTTAAAAACGAAGGCTTTGCGTGATGGGAAATTGGTAGAATTGGATTCTACGGAATTGGTGCCGGGTGATATTATTACCCTGCGGATTGGAAATATTATACCAGCAGATGCAAAATTATTAGGAGTTAGTCTTAGTGGTTCGGAAAGCTCAGAACACTTGCTAGTGGATCAATCAGCATTGACTGGTACGCATACTATCTGTTTTTTTTTCCCCCTCTGAATTATTGATCAAATTGGTTTAAATAATTTAAACCCAGGCGAAAGTTTGCCAGTACGTCGCAGTAAAGGAGAAATTGTATATTCAAGGTGACTATTATTTAAATGTTAACATTCATATTGTCTTCAATTTAATCGATCATTGTTAACTATTTACTGTATTATGACAGTTCTATAGTTAAACAAGGCCAAATGTTGGCTATCGTTAGCAAAAGTAAATATCATCTAAGATTAATTTAGTCCATAAATTTTTACAAATTTTATAATTTTAATTCATTTTTGATCAATTTTATACAAAGCTGGGAAAAATACTTATATTGGGCGTGCCGCTACGCTTATGAATATGACTGTAGATCAAGGTCATTTTCAAAAAATTGTCAATAAAATTGGCAATTTCTTGATTTTGATCACAGTCACTCTTGTAGTAATCATTTTTGTATACCAAGTGGTCAAATTTCGGGGTACTTCTGATGGTAATGTTCTAGTAGTTTTGCAACGTGTTCTGGTGTTGACGGTTGCTGCTATCCCGGTATATATTTTATAACATGAACTTAAACTTATTTAAAATATTAATAAACGAACTTATTGTGTTTTATATATATTTGTTGTCGAAAAGGTCGGTTTACCAACCGTTCTTTCTGTGACTATGGCTGTAGGTGCAAAACAACTAGCCGCGAAAAAAGTAATTATTAAACGTTTAGCAGCTGTCGAAGAATTGGCTTCCGTATCAGTTCTTTGTACCGACAAAACTGGTACACTCACTCTCAACGAATTATCCTCCGATGAATCATGGCTATCTCCTCCCTATACTGATTACGACCTTCACTTATATGCTTACATATGTTCCGAAGCAGGCACAGATGATGCGATAGAATTAGCCGTTAGAAATGCGGCAATAAAAAAAGTTGACATTTTACAAAATCTTAAAGATGAACATGATATTCCTGGTTTCAAAGTCATCTCATTAGTACCTTTTAATCCTTCAAAAAAATATTCTCATGTCACCGTAATGCACCTTGAAACTCATGAAAAATTTCAAATAGTCAAAGGTGCTCCTCAAGTTATAATTAAACTTACAGGTGGAAATCGTCAAGCAGATCAGGCTGTAATAAATTTAGCGTCACGTGGATTACGCGCTCTTGGTGTTGCAAGAAGCAAACCGATTACTTCTTCTGATACCAAAACTGATTCTCTTGAACCCGAACAACTAGAATGGGAATTGGTGGGATTTTTAAGTTTACTAGATCCTCCTAGACCGGATTCGAGGGAAATTTTAAAAAAATGCAATGAATTAGGTCTCGATATTAAAATGATAACAGGTGATCAACTAATTATTGCAAAAGAAGTCTCTCACCGGCTTGGAATGGGCAGAGTCATACTGGACTCAAATCATCTTGTTGATCCCACGAAATCTGATGAAGAGGTTACTGAGCATTGTATAAGAGCTGATGGTTTTGCTCAGGTTATACCTGAACATAAATATAAAGTTGTTGAGTTGTTACAGAAGAAAGGTTGTATTGTTGGAATGACGGTAATTAATACTTAATTTATAAATGAATTAAATTAATAATTTATAAATGAATTAATTAATTCTTAATTTATAAATGAATTAATAAATACTTGTCGGGGATGATGCTGAAATTTTAACTTATTTTAATATGAAATTTTAAAAAATTTTTAGCCCGTTTTTTTACAGTTTTTTCTTAGTAGGGTTTGTCAAGATCTCGAATTTCAGTATCATCCCCGACAATATTTAATTTATAAATGAATTGAATTAATTAATGCTTGATTTATAAATGAATTAATTAATACTTGATTTATAAATGAATTAATTAATACTTAATTTATAAAATGAATTGTTTTTTTTCCTCATTATTCCCTTTTCTTTACATAGGGTGATGGTGTAAATGATGCTCCAGCTCTTAAGCGCGCGGATGTTGGAATAGCTGTACAAGGATGTACAGATGCCGCGAGATCCGCTTCAGATATTGTTTTATTAGCGCCTGGTCTCTCAACAATAATTGACGGAATAATGACTTCTCGAACTATATTTCAACGCATGAGATCTTATTCATTATATCGTATAACCTCCACGGTACATTTTTTACTATTTTTCTTTTGCATAATATTGGCTAGAGATTGGACTTTACCGGCCGTATTGTTGATTTTGATTGCGATGTTGAACGACGCTGCTACTTTAGCTATTTCGGTCGATAATACTCAGGTAAGAAAAAATGTTCGAATTAGTGTCATAAAAGTGTAATAAGTGTTTTTTATTCTGAATCTGCTATTTTATTTGTCAATTACCTCAAGATATCTGGAGGCCCAGATAAATGGCGCATTGGACAACTAATTACACTTAGTATAATTTTGGGAATTATTTTAACAGGGTTTAGTTTTGCTCATTATTTTATTTTCATGAATGTAATTGGAGTAACTCCAGGTAATTCACCAAAAATTTCATGCTTTTTATTCTTGTTTCACTAATCCAAAATTTTACTTAAAAGAAATTGCTTGACAGACTGATTTTTATCCTGTTAATTTACCTTTATTCTGTTTTATTTATCAATCACCCGACGTTTACAAAAGGACAACTCTATACAGTAATGTACTTACATATCTCATCAGCTCCACACTTTGTAATCTTTTCTACTCGATTGCCAGGCCACTTTTGGGAAGTTCTCCCTTCTCCGATTTTTGTTCTTTCAATATTGGGGACTCAAGTTTTTGCGGCGATTATATCTGGTTTCGGATGGCTTACTGAGTCTATTGGATGGGTTATGTGCATTGTTATTTTGGCTGTGCGTTGTTAACTAATTCGAATGCTACTTAATTTTTTTTTTTATGTTTATAGATATGTATATTAATAATTTTATGTTTGCATTTCATTATCTGCTAAATAGATCTCTTTAGGAATCTTCGTAATACTCGACTTTGTTAAAGTTATTGTATTCCATTATTGGTCATTTGAATTGACAGCTAAACTTTTTCCATCAAAAGCAAGACGTGCAAAGTTAAATGCGCGTCGTGAACGAGCTTTGACGATTAAAGGAATTAATAATAACTTTAGAAAAATGAGAAAAGTTTTATTATTAACAAGAGTTATTCGTATATTTATACAAAAGGATAGTAAGGAAAAGGTTGAAGTTTTTTCTGAGAAATAACGTTAATTGGATAGTTGTTTACTATCGCTATTATTAGAATATTATATACAGAATTTGATGGAAACTATTTAATTTTCTAATTCGGTCAAATGGTTTAAAATTTCCAATTATATTCAATATTAATTAATTCCGTTATATCAATATCGGTAATAGGTCTCATATATACCTGAATATATATAAACTTTTATTTATTTAAAATATATCATCGATAAATAGTTAATTTTACAAATTATTACATAATCAAAATTTCGAATTACTTTTTATTTAACGAAA